CCGACCTACCGACCTACCGACCTACCGACCTACCGACCTACCGACCTACCGACCGACCTACCGACCTACCGACCTACCGACCTACCGACCTACCGACCTACCGACCTACCGACCTACGTACCGACCTCCCTGCCCACCTACCTACAGACCTACCGCTACCTACCGACCTACCGACCTACCTACCGACCTACCGACCTACCTACGACCTACGAACCTACCGACCTACGTACCGACCTACCTACCTATACATACATATAGGCATACATAGTATTTAGTAACGCTAGTAGAGTGTATAATTTTAAAGCAATACATTCGGTATACATGCATGGATTGTTGCACCGAACACTGTGCGAAGCAGAACGCCAGATCCTACCAGGCTCGGCTATAGTTGGACGGTGCTGACCCTAAACCCTAAACCCTAGACCCGAAACCCTTCTTGAACCCAGACTCTGCCAATCAGCTGGGAAGCAGCACGTCCAGATTATTGCATCTGGGAAGTAGCGCCGCCAAACTCAAACCTAATCTAGACCCTAAACCCTAAAACCCAAACCCTATATATGATCATATAAACTCCAAGGCCCTGGCCCGCCAGTCTCTCGAAAAGCTTCAGCGCAAACTCTTCGAAGGGCACACAGCCCTTGGATAATCCGACAGCTGAAGAGTAGCTGAAATCAACTCAAGCTTAAGCGCCGGATCTTCTTTAAACGGTTAGGGCTTCAATTTTATGTGGCATATAAGTTCAGAAAGACAGCAATATGTTACGATGGCACCATGGTCGGAACGGTCAGAATACCAAGTAGTAATCCGAGTCCTGCTGCCCAAAACATGGATAATGCCGCATAGAGACAATAACAGTAGCGCGCTCAACAAGTCAAGCATTGCCACAGATACTCTACGGAGCGAAACATGGTATCCATACGACCGCAGCAACACGAAGAGGCAAGAAGTCAGCGAGTCGGGCAAAACCTACGGTTTTGGGCAAAGGCTGCTCCTAGTCCATAAGCCAAAGGATATCTCCTGTCCTCGTCGCCCGGACGAATACTTGGGGCTGGAACGCCGTGAACAGGAAACCACGTGTCTAATAAAGGATTCGGGCTAACTTGTGGCACGCCGCTCGCAACACTGGTGTCACTCTGGCGCTGCTGCAAACAACGGAGGACCCACTTGGAAATGGTTGTGGATGCTGAAAATGATCCTTGGACTACTTATGGCTACTTGTTCACGAAAGCCCACACGCGTGCCGGGAACCGCTCGAACTTCCTTGCGCCTTTGCAAAAGGCAGCTCTGCGAGTAGGCAGATATGCCAGTTCGGAGACGCTCGCCCGTCAAATTCATCGCTGCCCACCGCCCAGTCCTTCTTTCGACAATGACCGTTAAGACTCTGGCACAACCTGAAAACAACACGCGGGCTACAGCCACGAAGCCCGGTTGCGCTGAGGCATAGTTGCACGTGGATGCTGAAAACGATCCTTGGGCTACCTCGCACAAGCCCACTCGTGCCGGGAACCACTCGAACTTTCTTGCGCCTTTGCAAAAGGCAGTTCTGCGAGTAGGCAGAAATGCCAGTTCGGAGACGCTCGCCCATCAAACTCCTCGCCGCCCAGTCCTCCTTTCGACAATGACCGTCAAGACTCTGGCACAACCTGAAAACAACACGCGGGCTACAGCCACGAAGCCCGGTTGCGCTGAGGTTTGCCTGGTGCCTCACTTTGGCGCCTTTGCAAAAGGCCACTTCTCCGTGAGAGAGAAGGACCAGTTCGGAAGACGCAGTTGACAAAAGAAGCGCCATTCGCTTTGCAGCACATGGTTGCACGTGGATGCTGAAAACGATCCTTGGGCTACCTCGCACAAGCCCACTCGTGCCGGGAACCACTCGAACTTTCTTGCGCCTTTGCAAAAGGCAGTTCTGCGAGTAGGCAGAAATGCCAGTTCGGAGACGCTCGCCCATCAAACTCCTCGCCGCCCAGTCCTCCTTTCGACAATGACCGTCAAGACTCTGGCACAACCTGAAAACAACACGCGGGCTACAGCCACGAAGCCCGGTTGCGCTGAGGTTTGCCTGGTGCCTCACTCTGGCGCCTTTGCAAAAGGCCACTTCTCCATGAGAGAGAAGAACCAGTTCGGAAGACGCACTTGACAAAAGAAGCGCCATGTGCTATACAGCACGTAGTTGCATGTGGATGCTGAAAACGATCCTTGGGCTACTTCGCACAAGCCCACTCGTGCCGGGAACCACTCGAACTTTCTTGCGCCTTTGCAAAAAGCAGCTCTGCGAGTAGGCAGAACTGCCAGTTCGGAGACGCTCGCCCATCAAACTCCTCGCCGCCCAGTCCTCCTTTCGACAACGACCGCCAAGACTCTGGCACAACCTGAAAACAACACGCGGGCTACAGCCACGAAGCCCGGTTGCGCTGAGGTTTGCCTGGTGCCTCACTTTGGCGCCTTTGCAAAAGGCCACTTCTCCGTGAGAGAGAAGGACCAGTTCGGAAGACGCACTTGACCAAAGAAGCGCCACTTGCTATACAGCACATAGTTGCATGTGGATGCTGAAAACGATCCTTGGGCTACTTCGCACAAGCCCACTCGTGCCGGGAACCACTCGAACTTTCTTGCGCCTTTGCAAAAGGCAGCTCTGCGAGTAGGCAGACATGCCAGTTCAGAGACGCTCGCCCGTCAAATTTTCCTCGCTGCCCGCCGCCCAGTCCTCCTTTCGACAGTGACTTAAGACTCTGGCACAACCTGAAAACAACACGCGGGCTACAGCCACGAAGCCCGGTTGCGCTGAGGTTTGCCTGGTGTCTCACTTTGGCGCCTTTGCAAAAGGCCACTTCTCCGTGAGAGAGAAGAACCAGTTCGGAAGACGCACTTGACAAAAGAAGCGCCGTTTGCTATACAGAGCATAGTTGCATGTGGATGCTGAAAACGATCCTTGGGCTACTTCGCACAAGCCCACTCGTGCCGGGAACCACTCGAACTTTCTCGCGCCTTTGCAAAAGGCAGCTCTGCGAGTAGGCAGATATGCCAGTTCGGAGACGCTCGCCCGTCAAATTTTCCTCGCTGCCCACCGCCCAGTCCTCCTTTCGACAATGACAATGACCATTAAGACTCTGGCACAACCTGAAAACAACACACAGGCTACAGCCACGAAGCCCGGTTGCGCTGAGGTTTGCCTGGTGCCTCACTTTGGCGCCTTTGCAAAAGGCCACTTCTCCGCGTGAGAGTTCGGAAGACGCACTTGACAAAAGAAGCGCCGTTTGCTATACAGAACATAGTTGTATGTGGATGCTGAAAGCGATCCTTGGGCTACTTCGCACAAGCCCACTCGTGCCGGGAACCACTCGAACTTTCTTGCGCCTTTGCAAAAGGCAGCTCTGCGAGTAGGCAGAAATGCCAGTTCGGAGACGCTCGCCCATCAAACTCCTCGCCGCCCAGTCCTCCTTTCGACAATGACGGTCAAGACTCTGGCACAACCTGAAAA